GGTTATATTTATACGCTTGTGGAGGCTTTCCAGAAAATTCAGATTACGTAACAATACAAATTTAAGCGTTTACGTAAATACATATATTGTTGATTTTTACTCTCGAGAATTTTCTACAACTTTGGAGAATAGGCGGGAGTTCCCAATACATATCTAACATTATAAGCTATGCATGTTTTTAAATACAAACTTAATCTAAACAAACGTTGATATTAAAATAAATATATAATAATAAATTCGTTACACAAACATAAATCACATGAAAATAGTAACAGATACGAGCTTATGGTTTATTGTGGATGAAGGTCGCATGTATGTATTGTTTTGTCATACATTATTAGCTATCAACACACTTCCACATGAATTCATTTTGTGACCCTCAACATAAGGAGTCGATATTCGATTTCCATCTATGTGCTGGTCAGCATAACAGGCGTCACAACAACTATTGTATTGGTGATCCGTTCATATAGGTCTCCCAGATCAGGCACCTTTGTCTTGTTGACGATGACCTTCGCATAGCTCCAAAAGAAATAGTCCAGAGAGGGGTGTCTGGGGATCGATCCATCGCGACTTCTTTCTTGAGTAACATGCTTCCGAACTCATGAAGTTGTTGGAATCACTTCTTGATAGAATTTTGAATTGAGAGATATTTTCCACACACACTTTACCATATCGGCTTTTCATTTGAATAGGCCATTTCATCTCTACTAGTCCTAGGTCGCACATGTTTGTTAATAACATATCTAGTGAGCGTTATATGTGATTACACTTATTATAGTATCCTTCATCCACTATAAACCGTAAGTTCGTAACTGTTACTGTAGTAACGTGGTTTACGTTTGTAATGCGTCACATAATGTTTGGACACCCTGTATTGACTAATTGATAGTACAAATTTACACCACGTGATCTAAATATGATTGACTTGTGTATGAATGACCTGCTTATAACACAGTTTTCAGCTATTCAAACATGAGTCAACTATTACAAGCCGGCTTGTACATGAAAAAAAAATTTTATTAAGAACAATCTGCCTACGTTTTTATCAAATACGGAAACGTTGAACAACAACAACAACAAAACAAGTACAATCACAAACACACGTATATCGAAACAAACCACAGTACTTCCGCAGAAGAATGAGATAAAGAAAAAACCTTCAAACTCTGGTTATTGAAATATAAATTGTTTTATATGCCAAATATACATAAAGAAATGAGACTTTTAGGGACAAAACGGAGACTTTTAGGGACAAAACGGA